TACGCTATCAATTTGCCAACGACTCAAATTATTATAGTAGTCACACAATGCTACATTAAACACATATTCTAATAAATTTCGTCATTACAGTCCGACAACAGATTGCTTCCAGAAGTAAAGCTGACTTTGTCATTTCATAACTCTATAAATAGAATTTATTATTTAAATTACTGTAAATACTGCTCGGTTTCAGGAGTCAATCCTGTTATCATAGTCTGCTAGCACATTCTATTATATTTCTGAAAAGTTCCTCTGTTGAGGAAATTTGTAGCAGACGCTTTGCAAAAAAAATCTGTTTTTTATAAATTTAGCAATATGGATAACTGTATAGATTTAATAAAAGAATGCGTTGTATTATTTATAAAAAAGTGAATTACTAAGGGATAAAAGAACATTTTTCATACTGCACATTTACGACTAATTGATAGCACTGTTTTACAAAAAAAAAATTTTTCATAAACTTTAATGAAATATATCATTTTTGAAGAATTTTTGTACACTGAAAACGAATCCGGCAGTAAAAATGGCGTAATATTTCAAGCTTTTGAGAAAACCTCATAGAAAACTCCAGAATTTGCTAAAATATATATTTTCGATACTTTTACGGGAGTTATTTTAGAAATAATACATTTGATTAAAGTCCATAAAATTTGTCGAATCGTATAATTATAAAAATGAAATTTCTTAATTTTGATGTTATAAATCCAAAAGTCTGTTAATGTTTTAACATACTGATTTCAAGAGACATGGCATAATCGTTTGAGAAGAATGAATACAGCTTGACGAAAAAATTAGCTTTGTTTCGAAGGTATGCATAACCCTTTACCAGTAATATACTAATATGTATAGATAATAGATAAATGTGCTATCGGCAGTTTACCAAATCTATGCCTTAATAAGAAAATACGAAAAATTATAAATCACGTACTTATCAATCGAATACATTTTTGTACGATTTTAATTTATAACATTGTTAGATATGCTACTAATATTATATGTATATTATATTATACAGTACTGTATATATTATATTATACAGTACATTTTTAATAAAAATTGAGACGGAAAACTTATAGTCAACCCAACTGGCTAGTTATTTAATTAGTTTATTACACAACGTTTCGACCCTATTCTTTTGGGTCCTTTTCGAGTGATACTGAGTCAGTCATCGTCGTCGAATAAGACAGAGTCGAGGTATAAAATATATATATATACGTGTGAGCACTGTGGTAGCTGGGCTCGAACTGGCTAATTATAATTACAATCTCTCTATTCGTGCTCAATCCAAAATATTGTACAAATATGGAATATACTTAACAATTTGTTGACAAGGACAACGTTATACGTGTTGTCTACTTGTAAGAACTCTAAGGGACTGGTTATGATGAGAAGATAATATCGAAATAAAAAATATTGCAGCACGATCAAGGATGGAACACACTGAAAGAAAAATGATACACTCTCCCTTTCTCAATTCGACCTTTGCTCCACTTCATTTCCGTATAAAAAAAACTTATTTCCTTCGGTTTTTAAAATAACTATATTTTGGAAAATAACAAGGTACTTTAGTAAATGTTAAAATTGCGCAATTTCTATAAAATATGAACGCGAGAGTGAGCGTCGCCGTTGGTTAACTCGTACTGTGGACAAAGGTCGATATTCTCGAGTAACTGTTGCAACTCGTAGTTTTACTGAACTGCGATAATGTCATGGAATGAGGATGTGGCGTACGCTTTTACCCCCTACAAAGTCTTAACTCTGCCACTAGGTATTTGGCCTTTGCAAGAATATAATACATTTGCTTTAGTCCGTTGGATAGTGTGCGGCATCTGTTTGGTACGTTCTCAACTTACATATTACATATCGCAATAAAATTATTCTTTCGTTTGTATTTTCGACATATTAAGCTCAAGAACACAAGTGAGATGCTTAGTGCAGCGTGAATATATACAGTAAAAATAAAAAATAAAAACTTCATAATAAATGGTCCACCTTTCCTGTTTGTGCAGAGTGCATCGATGATCATGTTGTTCCTTGAAATCGTTTTCAGTAGCGACGAAGTATATGTAAAACTCGATGCTCTTGTGTTTCTATTTTGCAACATTATCTCTGTACTAAAGCTATTATTCTTCCGCTTATATGCCGACAATCTGACTCGTAATTTCTCTTCTGCTGTGAACGATTATTTCGCAATCGACACCGAGGAGGAGCGCATGATCATGCGGCGACATGCTTACATGGGAAAAATGATTTGTTTCATTATCGTATCTTTCGGTTATGTGGCTTCATCAATGTCCATACTGACGCCTCTGTTAGCAAGCGTTGAAGACATTCAACTTAATGCGTCTATCGAAAATCAAGCATCGAAATTACCTCTGCCTTTAACATGGACATTAGGGGACTTTCATATGTCTACAAATGTATTCTTATTGATCTGTATGGGGCAGTATTTTCTATTCGTGCTTAATTGCATTTGCGACTGTGGTAATAAGCTAATTGTTAATTTCACGAGAAATGCATATAAAATATTAATTTAAATCTGTTACTTTTAATAAAATTTATTAATTAGTTTTCTAATTTTTACATGTATTATACATTTTCAATAATTTTATAAATGTTGGTGTGACAATCTTAGTTTATTATTTACGTAAATAAAAAGTTATTAAATATACAAATACACTTTTAACAGATATTCTTTTTAATGTTATAGGTTATTGTTGAAATGCAATAACATTTTGTATTACATTAGTTTTGCAACAGTTCCTAACTGACAATGCTGCATTATTAATTATGCTATTATCATAATATTATAATAGTAATTTATGATATAATGTTTTAATATAAAAACTGTTTAATTTGAATATTTATATCTATTTATAAAGGCGGTGATTCACTTTACCTCGCAATCGTTCTCCATGTTTGCGGACAAATAGAGCTTCTAAAAATTGAGTTCGCTAACTATGGCATGAAAGACAAGAATACAAGTGCAGAATTTTCAAAACTAGCCTGCAGACATTATTATCTAATAAAGCATGCGAAACTTCTGGGAGATGTAACAAGTTTTCTTTGGCTGGTGTCAATGCTGTGCTGTTATCTCTTAATTTGCCTGATCGGTAAATATCTCTTTGATTCAGCATTTCTCTCTGAATGATGTGAGCAATATTATACTTTTAGGATATTGTAATTTTTTTTAATTAAAGTTATTATGAAAATTATTATAAAGCTAAAATTGTATCACATGTTCATAGAATATTTCTTAATTCTATTCTGTGGCTTTCTAAGAACGTAACAAAAATAATAAATAATTTTTGTGTCATTAATGACAGAAAGAGTTGATGTATGTAACATCAACGTGTGGTTTCAGGTTTTGTACTTATATTAGCATTCAAAACGAATGACATAGTAATGATAACTAAATGTATAACAGTGTTTATCACTATGCTGTTCCAATGTTTCTTCTATTGTTTCGTGGGTGATTATCTCAAGTGTCAAACGGAAGAAATTGCTCATTCGATCTACAGTTGCAATTGGCACTACTTGCCGATGAATTTAATGACAAACATTTTGTTTGCCATTATGCGGTCGCAACAACCTGTTCAGTTTCTAGCTGGGGGAATTTTTGTTGTAAACATTAAGACTTACATGGCCTTAATAAAAAGTTCCCTTTCGTATTTTTCCGTCTTACGAGTAATGGTAGATGAGGATTAAACGTTGGACGTGAATAATTACGGAAAAGCATTATGCAGAAAAGAAAATTAATACACCGTAAGCAATGTTCAATTATTTTGTACGTACAAACATTGTTTTTAACGGGGCACTGCCGCTGGCTTGTATGTCTTGAGTTGAATAATCAAAGTATATGAAATATCAGTTTTATTACATCGATAAATATTGTGCATCATTGTAACACATCACTTTCTGTAACCACACTCTGTAACTCATAACCATGAGAATGCGATCGTTGCATATAATTTGATGACTGTCTAATAAGCAAAATATTGGAAGTGTGTTATCAGCTTGCTTACAGATTCGAGTAGAATATTGGGCCAGATTGCCATTAATTGCGTTTACATTAAACTTGTGTCTTACCAGCAGATTTTGCCAATGTAGCCCGACGGATTAGAAACAATTGACATAGGTATGTATAACGTATTTGAATAATTATGATGGCACTAACAACATCTTATAAATTTCACTCATCTTATAAATTTAAAAAACTGTCTAATATACTAAATTTTACGTTAATTACGTACCTTTTGAAAAAGGTATCAAAGTAAAAGGTTTTCCAACACGATAAATGACAAATGATAAACTTCAGATGACGCATCAAAAGGAAATAAAACACCCACTTCCCCATTTGGTCTTCGCTATATTCTACTTTCATATAAAAAACTGTTTCTCTCAGTTTTTAAAATTACTGTGTTATGAAAAATATCAAAGTACACTAGCAAGTGCTAAATTTATATAGTAACTGTTAAATTGCGCAAGTTGAATGAAACATGGACGTGAAAGCGAAACATCGTCAACGATCGACTCGTATAAATGGACAAAGATATTGTGGAGTATTATGTTACATATACTAGTAGTATTATATGTATAGAGTACAATTTTAATAAAATGGCAAATTATAATTACAATACGTCCCTATTCGTACTAATCAAGAATATAGCACAAAATATGGAATATACTTAATTTGTTGACAATGACAACATTATTCGTGTCGTCTAAGAACTCTGATGCACAAAATTTCAAATTGTATATGTTTTTGATAAAAAGACGATATCGAAAAAATATTGGAAGCACGATCAATGATACAGATGATACACTGGAGGAAAAATGACACACGCTCTCTCTCTCAACGCGACCTCTGCTCCACTCCATTTCCGTATAAAAAAACTTATTTCCTTCGGTTTTTAAAATAACTATATTTTGGAAAATAACAAGGTACTTTAGTAAATGTTAAAATTGCGCAATTTCTATAAAATATGAACGCGAATGCGAACGTCGCCTATGGTTAACTCGTACTGTGGACAAAGGTCGATATTCACGAGTAACTGTTGCAACGTGCAGTTTTACTGAACTGCGATAATGTCATGGAATGAGGATGTGGCGTACGCTTTTACCCCCTACAAGATCTTAACTCTGCCATTAGGCGTTTGGCCCTTGCAAAAATATGATACATTTTCTACAGTTCGTTGTATCGCGTGTATCTCCAGTTTGGTACGTTTTCTCTATTTCCGTTTTATATATCGGAATAAAATTATTCTTCCGTTTATATTTTTGATATATGAAGTTAAAGAAAGTGAGTGCTTAGTGCAGCGTGGACACATTGAAAATGAGAAACAAGCATAGATACTTCATAAATAGAAGAGATAGAAGATATAAAGCTTGAATACTACATAATAAACAGTCTATCTTTCCTGTCTGTGTAGAGCGCGATGATGATCGTATTGTTCCTCGAAATAATTTTCGGTAACAGCGAGGCATATATAAAACTTGATGCTCTTATGATTATGTTCTGCAACGTTCTCTCTGTGCTAAAGCTATCGTCCTTCCGCTTATACGCCGACAATCTGACTCGCAATTTCTCTTCTGCCGTAAACGATTATCTCGCAATCGACACCGAGGAGAAGCGCACGATCATGCGGCGACATGCTTATATGGGAAGATTGATATGTTACAGTATCATATCTCTCGCTTATTTGGCTTCATCAATTTTCGTGCTGACGCCTATGATAGCAGGCGATAAGGACGTGCAAGCTAATGCATCTATCGAAACTCAAGCATCGAAATTACCTGTGCCTTTACCATGGACCTTAGGGGACTTACATATCTCTACTAATTTATTCTTGCTGATCTCTATGGTGCAGTATATTCTATTGGTGCTTAATAGCACTAGCGATTGTGGTAATAAACTAATCGATTAATTCCGACGAGATGTGCATAAAATATTAATTTACTTTGAACGTGTTACTTTTAATAAATTTCATTAATAAGTTTCCTAATTTTGACAATTATTTTCAGCAGTTTTATTAAATGTTAGCATGTACAAACTGAATTTAATATTGATTCTAGTAAACATAAACGAAACGTTCATATTTATTGGTATTAACTATTAAATATATGTATATAAATTTATACATATATACAGAGTGTCTAAAAAATCACGAATCAAAATAACACAGCAAGAAAATTGTCGAAAAAATAAATTGAAATGTATTTGCTATTTTTCGTTCGGAACGGAGGTTCAATTGACCATTTTGATCTCAAAGAATGACAAGTGCCTTACAAACAATAGGAAATATCTTTTTAATCTATGTTTTCGACAACTTTCTTGCTATGATATTTTAATTCATGAATTTCGGGACACCCAACACATACACACACACACACATTAACAAATGTTCTTTTTAGTGCAATAGATTACTGTTGCAGTTTGATAACGTTTTGTTTCTTTAAATTAGTTTTGCAATAGATCCGAACTGACAGTACTGCTTGTTACTATTACTAATAATACTACAATAATAATGTTAATAATATAGTAATATGATATTAATATAAATTGTTTCAACTTTGAAATCTATTTATAAAGGCGGTGATTCACTTTTTCTTGCAATCACCCTTCATGTTTGCGGGCAAATAGAACTCCTAAAAATCGAGTTTACGAACTATTATATAAAAGACAAGAGTATAACTGACGAATTTTCAAAATTGACGTCCAGACATCGTAATCTAATAGAGTATGCGAAACTTCTGGATGATGTAACAAGTTTCGTTTTGCTGGTACAAATGCTGTTCAGTTGCCTTATTATTTGCTTGATTGGTAAATATCACTGGAATTTAACATTTCTCTCTGGATTATATGAGCAATATTACATCTTTAAAATACTGCAAATCTTTTCTATTAAAGAAAGTTACGAAGCTAAAATCTTATTAGATATCCATAGAATATTTCTTAATTCTATCTTGTAGTTGTCTAGTAACGTAACAAACATGATAAGTAATTTTTATGTCATTAATACGTTGAATGCCATTTTTACGTAACTTTCCGATCAGGCTGCGTAGACCATCGATGATTCACGGTATTACAATTGTATTATATATGATACTTATGCATCAGCTGATTATATTCTGAAGATTTTACGGTTTTACACAAAATAACTATAAATTAGGGTTGGGAAGTAACTCGTTACTTGTAAGTTACAGTTACAGTTACTTCTTTTTGGCAACTCTAACTTAACTCAGTTACGTTTTTTCAATAACTAGTAACTAATTTAATAGTTACATTAATAGTTACTTTATATATTTTTTAAACCTTCACTTAATCGCACAGGCCTTAATTGCCTTTGCGTATAAGCGCCTCCCTAGAAGCATAATTCATTGGCTGTACATTGGCTAACATTGGTTAAACATGTGAATTGGCCAATATTTTCCCAATATAACACCAATATTGATCATAAAATAAATGCAAATATACTACTAATATTGTACCTAGATGATTATTTAATATTGGATTGATTGTATTAGCAAAATTGCCCCATAAAATTGTAATATTGAATATAGAATAAATGCTAATGTAACGCCGATGTTACGTATCAATAATTACACGGTACTGTGTTTACATTGAAAGTGCATTGCAAAAATATGAGGCCCTCCACCACCCCTGCCAATTTCGATCGGTGGTCCTCTTTTCTTATCAATAATCATTTTCTTCTAACATTTTTATCATTATTATATATTCATCACAATTTATTTTATGATATATTTCAATATAAAACATGTAGCTATGTCTTCTCTCTAAAAGTCAATTAGTGGATTATTACAGAAAACAATGAATACCTACTGATTCACAGTTACAAGTATACCACTGAATAATTAAATAGTTATAACCGTTTTCAATGATAATTCACTGATTGACTTTTAGAGAGTAATATGTAACATTCTTTATAAATGTGTAACAAAAAATCGTACTGTAAATGCACAAACGAAAATCTATCGCATAAAAGATTATTTTAGGCCAACTTAAAATTTCATACAATAGAAAAGTTAATCTAAAGAGGCCCTCCGCCGCCCCCGCCGAATTCTTATCGGCGGTCCTCTTTTGTTTGCGATAAAATTAAGTTTTTACATTTTTATGACTTAATTAATTTTCTTCACAACTTATTATATAAATATAGAAAGAGAGATAAAGTTACTGAAACTAAAAACATGATATACAATAAAAATATGTACAATTTTTCATTATGACATAAAATTACATATGAACATGTTACATGTGTTTACAATAATACGTACCTAACTCTTACAATGTAAAACATTAATAGAAAATGTTACACAGTACACACAACGTGTTACCTACATATGTGGCTGTGCTTATAACTGTACAACATTTTTTATTAATGTGTAAACGAAAAATCAAACTGTAAAGGCAAATTTATCGATCAATTGCAAACGAAACTATCGATTAAAAGACTACGTGAATCAAATTGAATTAAAATTTTATTCGACAGAAACAAATTGACCTATATAGAGGCCCTCCACCACCCCCGCCGCGTTTAATCGACGGTCCTCTTTTCTTTACAGTTTGATTTCTTACATTTTTATTATAACTTACTTTACAATACATTTATAATATAATAAAAGAAATAATGACATTTTAAATACCTACATATTTCTCTCGACGTTATATATGAAACTCTCAAATTATGTCCCCCTATCCCTGACTATCCGAATCCCTACCTACCCGTATTCCGATCTATAGACCTACTTATTCAATTTCTACCTACCCGTGTTTCAACATAATAAACCTACAAATCTTTAATTAACCGCGACGCGATGTTCTAGGGATTTGACTTGGAGTTTATCGCGACCGCGAGATTTAATAGGGGTTTCACTCTCGCACATTTGAGAGAATGTATGTGTATAGAAGCATAACCCACCCGAATTGTAACACATCAAAAGAAATCAAAGTATACTTCGTACAGCACCTTACTTAGGTACTCCATCAGAGTGGCCAATATTGACCACTTACCTCGTCGTATTATATATATATATATTTAGTCCTTCGTTGGGCCAGATTGGACCTACCTTTCGTTGCTCCCGGCCATACAATCTGGTCATTTTGACCAGAGATCAGGAAGGAAGAAAACTCCTTCCATAGTCGGTTATCGTCACCGACAAATATTTCGTACGGTTCGAATATACGAGTGTCGATCGTATCGCAAAATGCACGACCACGAGAGGTTAATTAAAGAAGAATATTAATTCAAAAAACTTTACTGTATATACGAGTTAAATTTATTTTTACTTCCGTTATTTGTTCAAAAATATTGACCATCTCTTCGTAACTTTATCTTTGAATTCGAAATTCACGTAGATATAGAATAAAATTTACTTCGCGTTAGAGTGATTTTAATCATATTCCTCGATAAATTAAAATTTATAATATGGATAAAATTAAATATTTAATTAAAAAATTTTCCTGAAAAACCGATCGCGAAAACCGACCGCGAAAATACAAAGATGCGTGTGACTATGCATGTATTCATGCAAGACGCATCTTGAAAGTACGTATATCACGTACATGTACATATCACACATACAAATAATAAATGATGTGAGATCCAGAAAAACGAAACTTCTTTCACGATTCCAACCGATATAATAATTGCATATTATAATTAATTAATAACCGCAAATAATATTAAAAAATAAGTTAAAATTTCAGTGTTCTGGACAAAACATATTAGAATCTCACGTCATATTATTTTACTATCTACAATACATCAATTCGTTAATAAAAATGGATAGGCTACAAAAGATTAACTCGGCGAATACATCATTAATATTCGCCATACTTATTTCGTTTAAGTTCTGTGATGTAATTCAACGATTCTCAACATGGAAAATGAGCTCGACATACCCTCATTTGTAGAGCTCTATGAAATTAAACGAATGTGAAAAAAATTTTAAGTTGAACTCGTTGAACTTTAGAGGCCCCGCTGTAGGAAAGAATGAATCCCAGATCTTCCGGATTACCTCCGATAGCGGTCATTTCGGCAGGGAGTTAACGACGATCGTTTTTCAAATCATTAAATCTCGTACATTTTTATTTTTATTGAAGTAAAAATTATTCTTCCATTATTAGTGTTAATGGGAGAATATTTATGGAGAAGAATATATACATAAAATCTTCTCTTCTTTTTTTGTTAATTTCGCGAATCGACGTCGCACCCTCGTGCCGAAACAGTTGCTTTCGGGGATCCGGGACAAAGAAAACCAGGGATTAACTCTGGTTCTGCAACGGCACAGCTAACTTTCCACATTGAAAATGGTTTATTCTCCTCTCCGGAGTTTCAATATGTTAAATAAAAAATTTATTTGCCGTTAGCATTTGAAACCTATCCATGTTAACGAATATACAAGGCATCGAATATACATGGCAACGAATATACAAGATAAACTACGATCTACAATTCTACGATCTACGAAATGCACTGTAAAAAAAGTATGTAAAATTACATACTTAATAAGTGTAGCGATTACTCTATTAATAACGGAAATATATAAATGTATATACTTTTACAAAAAAATTTATTTACTCTTTGTTGTGTAAATACTCGTTTATACATGATGAAAAATTACATAAAAATGTCAAATTTACATAATCAAAAGCAAGCAGTTTACTTATTATATAAGGTAATAATTTTACTTGCAAGGAGTAAATTTACTGACGTATGTAAATATACACCTTTACTAGATGGTCTGAACATTACTCACTGTAATACTTGTAATTTTACATGTAATTTTTTTACAGTGTGTATATTCGTTGCCGTAATAAAAAAGTTTCTCACTCACCGACCCGATGCGCAGCAGCGGAGTTTAACTACGATGATCCTGTAACATACAATTATAAAGTTCATATTAAAACAGGGTATTCAAAAAAATGAATATTAAAGAAAATAATTTTTAAATTATTGAAAATAAACGAGAGAAAGATTAATTTTATACAAAAGAAAAAATATTTACCCTAAAGTTGCTCCGCCGGTGCCTGATGCCTTCCCCAGGCCTCCTCCTCCACTCAGGTTGTCTTCTTGCACACTCGCGAAAACACAAAGATCGTTCGCGCGATTTTACACTTTGAAAGTCTTTAGTCCAGTTACACAAACGGCACTCCCGAACGCGACGCGACACGACGAATCGCCGCGCGCGGTTGCGATTCGTTTAAACTGGCGAAATAATAGCGAAATTATTCGTCAGTCCTCGAAAGTTCGTGAAATGAACAGAATCAATTAATAAATGTGCTCTAAAAGTCAATCGGTGGATTATCACTGAAAACAGTGAATCGATTCGTTATTTTCAGTAATAATCCACCGATTAACTTTCAGAGAGTGTTAGGCCTGGTTTATCACTTTCTGATTAACTGTTAATATGGAAATTACTCGACTCTCTATGCTTTTCTATATTATTATCTAAGAAGAGACAGAGAATCGATTAAACTATGGTCAACAGTTTATTAGAAACTGAAAAATCGGGCCCAAATGGGTGCAATGGGTACCTTTGGTTGTCCCGTCTTTAGAGTATGTACTCTCTAAAATCAATCGATGGATTATTACTGAAAACAGTGAATATTCACTGATTCAGTGATAATGCACTGGTTGATTTTTAGAGAGTAACTCTTCGGGGTACTTAAGCCCCTCCACCACGACAAGGTAGTACCCGAGGAGGGGATTATCGACAAAAACTTTGCATTATTTTAAAAATAAAATAATGTCTCTCGTTTAGATTCGACTTGAAATGTTACCCGATGAAAACTAACTAACCTTGCAGAGGCCCTCCACCATCCCCGCCGATTCTAGTCGAAAGATTAATTCACAATCTCGATCTCGGGACAAAATCAATTTTATTTTCGGAATTAATCAACGATTACTCATAAACTAATGATCCGAGATTAGCGTTTCTCATCTCGTTGAAAGCA